AACAGTTCCAATGTCTATAATACATTTTGTTATAGTAAGGAATTGAGCAGTATCTATAATTATTGTCACAAATTTAATTACATTTACATAATGTAATCGAATTAAAAATAAAAATCTATTGTTTTTTAGGCAATAATTGAAACAGCAACGTAAAACGGAAATAGATTTCGCACTCAAATTTCGACTATAAGTCATACCTTCTTCAGCATAGTTATAATGTTTTCACATAAAAAACTATGGACAAAATTGTCCTTATTTATTCTTAAATGATAGAGATTAAAACAAATTTCGAGAAATCAATTGAAATACATCGAAAACCTATACACATTCGTTAACTAATCCTACCCTTAAAACTATTTACAATTATCGAATAAATTTATAATTACCTTCATCTACATTTGGAACATTACTGGCTAGCGCTACAATTTGTTCTGTACTTAGATTCTCATTTTCAAGTAGATTAAATTCTATAAGAAAATATATAATAATAATACAGTCTATAAAAAAATATTCTTTATAACAGTTAATTTAAAAATGAGATTGTTTAGATTTAATTAAATTGTACAACTGAAAAAAACATTAGAAGCCGCGTTAATAACTTTTGACTCAAATGCAATTTATACCATTTTTTTTTTTTGGTAGCTAAGTAATTATAAATATCGAAAAATATTATTCGCATATAAATGTTAAATTTTATATTTACCATGTAAAACTGCGTATATTGAGTTTCCAACTCGAGTCTCTCTGTCCACGCATACTTAAAATATATAACCAAAAACCAGCTCTATAATATATTCAAATATATTGACTGGGACTTATTTTGACAGTTAATATAATATGATGCAAAAATGTGTTTGTGTAAAATATTATATAATGAAATATTTAAAGTCAATTACACTGTGGATGACGAAGGTAGTCTCTTTTATCTGAAATTAAAAAGAAAACTTTATATATTTAATGAATGAGAAAAAACTGTGAAATTCGTCTCTAAAATGTAGGAAATAATTTACCTGGTACAGCAAATATAAGGGACAGTTCTTCTGAAATTAAAATAATTGGATTATTAAAAATTATATCGAATGTAGTTTTATATTCTACTGTAAGCTAGTAGGCAGAGTTAGATTGTACATGTGTATAAAAAATTACGAAGAAATTAACATTAAAAGATGCAATTTCTATTAAAAAAAAAAAATAATAGTTAAAAACATGCTTTTCTAAAAAAAAAATAATAGTAAAAAGTGAATTAAAAAGTAAAAAATAATTTTATTACAAGAACAATTTACCTATTATTTTATTTAAAATGTCAATTACTTTGAAAATTAACTACAATTTTAAATGATGTTCAACATCATAAATTTTTAACTAAAAAGAATAGCTTGGGCCCTATTCAACAAAGTCCAAATTCATTGAGTTAAGTATTATGAAATGTATGTGTCATACACAAATTTTAAATTCAATTTAAATTACAAAAGAACTTAAAATATAAAACATCATTTGATAAATTTATTAGGGACTTTGATGAATATGGCCCACGATTTTCTTTTTAGTCAAAAATGTAATATGTTTAACATTATTTAAAATTGTAGTTAATTTTTGGTTGTTTTTAAAGTAATTGACATTTAAAAATAAAATATGCTACAATTGATTGGTAAATTGTTTTTATATTAAATTTATTTTTTACTTCTTTGTTTAGTTTTTACTTTTTTTTTTTAGAAAAGCATATTTATAAAAAAAAAATTATTTTCTATTTTTTCGGTCGGGGCAAAGTGGGGACGGAGCATAGTTAGGTCGGGGCATAGTGGGGACGAGGAGATCACAGGTTTACAGGAATTTTTAAATCTGAAAGTGATAAAATAACTTTCGAAAAAACGCTTCGATGCAAATCGGTAGTTTATATTTTCAAGCCAGTACAGTCCAAACCAAGCACAGTATAAACCAGCAAAGTTAGAAAGTTTTAAATGAAGGTTCTGTATTTACAATTGAGCATCAAAGCGTTAATTTGATAGTGATTTTATCCGAGAGGACTAGTACAAACGGAGAGGTCACAGGTCTACAGGTATTATTATAAACAAAAGAGATAAAATTGAATAAAATCACTTTCAAATAAACGCTTTGAAGCTCGTTTGTAAATACAGAACCTTAATTTAAAAATAATTAGAAGAGTTCCCTAATAAATAGTTATAGTAAAAATATTTAATATATTATTTACAAAAAAGCATCAAAGCGTTTTTTTGAAAGTGATTTTATTCAATTGTATCACTTTTATTTATAATAAATCTACTAGACCTGTGACTTCTCCGTCCCCTCGTTGCTTTGATTACATTATGCCTATACTCTACTGAACTAGTCCTCATATATAAAATCACTTTCAAATTAACGCTTTGATGCTTCTTTGTAAATACAGAACCTCAATTTAATACTTTCTAACTTTGCTGGTTAAAACTGTGCTTGGTTTGGACTGTACTGGCTTGAAAATACTAACTACCGATTTGCATAGAAGCGTTTCTTCAAATATGATTTTATCACTTTGAGATTTAAAAATTCCTTTAAACCTGTGACCACCCCGTCCCCACTATGCCCGGACCCAACTATGCTCCGTCACCACTATGCCCTGACCTTACTGTACTGTTTTTTTTTGTAAAAACGTAGTGGACCAAATAACACATATACAATGTCTTGTTATATTTTGTGGGAATGGTCGACGATTCATGTTTCAATCGTTTGTACTGCATAAGTTAAATATAATCGCTTATTCTCAATAAAATTAATATTTATGTATTATACTTCCATTAGAGCAATCTCACACAAACTATTTATACTTCATAGATTATATTATTTCAAAGCTATATTATACTTCTATTTTACTAGATTGACAATGTACCAAACAAAATGAAACTAAAAAAACCTTTTCATAGATCTTTAAAATGTAAAGGGTGGGATAGTGAAACGGGTTTTCCCATTTGAATACATTAGAAAATCGCCGTTTTACTGCCCCGTCCTGTATATTAATTTCTTGTTATTTTCTAAAGAAAAATTGATTTTCTTACATTTAAATTAAAATAAACCGTATACTGGTACTGTGATGGAGAAAACAAAAATGCTACCTACATATATTTCTTATTAGTTAATTATTACTAACGTGTATAGCCACTAGCGGTCGGCTGTTGCCTGTTATTTAACAATAACCTTTTATGGAGATTTTAAAAATTGTGTTTTTTTAATAATAGTATAGGAGCAGTATCATGATGTCAAATGTTTACGAGATTTGATCTAGTCATAAAATAAAGTACTATTATTCATGACTTTTAAATACTATTAAAATATATCTTAACTTGAACACAGTAATAAAATAATGAAATATTTTATACAAAATAAGAGCTACAAAATTATAAACTAAAAAATTAAAACTAGCACGAAGCAGATTACATATCTTGTATAAGATAATTTAAACAATCAAGCGTGAATCTCTTTAAATGAATAACAGTATAACAATTTTTTCCAAATAAATCGTGTGTCTAATATAATCAGTTACACGATTTAGTCGTCTGTGATATCATGTAATAAACACAATATTATGATACCGACCATTGGGCCCTAACCTAACCTAACACGGATAGACGTTACCAACTGATAGTTTTGTAGTGTCTGTTCGTTTCTCACATCTGGTACACCGTGTTTTTAGTTTAAAAAAATAAAAGTAAAAAAATTGTCAAAAGTGGTACCTGAGCACAAAACTTAATAGAATCATTCTGCATAGATATACATAAAAATGTTTTAATGATTTGATAAATTTTTTTTAAAGATTTTAGGTGTTTTTGTTAAAATATACGTAATAATGTATGTAAAGAAACTTGTACCCCGCCTAGGGGGTGGGAAATGGGTATAGTTGAAATTTGATACAACTGACGTATGCGGGCATACCAAATAATTCTTCCTTATATATTTCAACTCGATCCGACCCCTTTTTCTCGAACATATAGCCGGTAAAAGTTCTAACTTAAAAACTCGTACGGTTATTTTTTTGTTTTTTCAATTTTCGTCTGTGAAGAAGTAAACTTTTTCAACTTTTACTTCCCCCCAAAGTACCAACTAGATGAAATTTGTGATTTATAGAGTTGCTACTCGAAGGAATTGGTCCAGTATTAAAAAAGTTACTGTATATACAGATAAAAAAAAAACACACATCAGAGTAAAACCCTTCTCAATACCTTCTCCCTTTGCATCGAAGCTAAAAAGCGTATAATAAAATGTATGATTTATAACACAGAAAAGTTACCATGAAAATTTTCTGTTGTTGTAATTTACTCTTACAGTTAAATCACTTTCAAATATTTTATTCTCAACATGAGAAAACTTATTTTAATTTGTTGCTAAATTATTTTATTATAACTACCCATCGATGTATTTGGACATTGAATAAAATTTTCAATTGCTTCAGCTAATAAACCTAGAATCAATTAATAATGGTATTAGCTATGGTAAAATATTAAATAATATTATTTTATATGTAGATAAATCCTTAGTTTAAGAGTACATCATGTTTCAGGATGTACCATTTAACTAAACACTACTCTCCCTATTAGGTTAAATAGTGACGGTATGTAAGTTATGAAAACTGTTTTGTTAATTTTTTACATAATATTTGGAATATTGATACTATCTACACATATTTCATGCACTCTTGGCTGAGCAGATTATTCGAGTTTTTAATTTAAAAACTATTTGATAATCAAGCAAAAATAACGAAGCAATTATATACAGTTTACATAATACCTCGCTGCTTAGCCTGTTTGATGTATAAGTCTGTAATAAATTATTTAAAAATATATGTATAAAAACAGTACAATATTGAAACTTGTAATGGTATTTTGTATGTAAAAAAAATTTAATCACTTGTTATGAAAACCTGAAACTTGTACAGTTCTATAAAAAAACGATTAGAATTATATATTTTAATTATCTCAAATATGTATTAGATACGCATAAGATGAATTTATTACCAACATCTTCCAAAATGATTACAAAGATAAATGCTATTAAAAAATAGTCAAATTTCATCTTTATCTGCAATAAATTACAAAGCATAGTAGACACAGTGGCTAATTAAATAATATCTCTAATATAGAACACAGAAGGCAATAGTTTTACAATTATGAGTTTTTATTTGAGTTTTTGGACCAACGACGCAAGAAATTCGGGATTAATTTTATACATAAATTATTGAATAGTGATATTGATGCTCCGCGTTTACTGGAGTGACTCAATATTCTTGTACCCAGCAATACAAAGCTTCAAAGTCAATTTTATTTACCTTTGAGCAGAACGAATTTTGCTAAAAATGCCCCCTTAATTAGGATGATGCGTGAATACAATGACATTGTATAGTTTTGTACGGACGCTTATTATTTATTTTTATTGTTAGTAATAGTTCTTTTGTTGTACTATTTTTTTTCCTTTTGTACTGTTATATGTACCTAATAATTTGTATTATTTTTTAAAAAGCCGATTGGCGTTAATTTATAATTTTTTTTATTAGTAGCATTTTAATATATTATAAATATCGAATTTATTTATCATAAATGTTTTACAAAACTGTATGCATAGAACAATGCGTTTGTATTCATATATCATTTGTAATATCACAAATATTTTAAATAAAACTAAACGCATATGCACTGAGTAAGCCACAAAATCCCATTCGCTATGACTCATCTTTCCCCCCTATTTACAACAACAAGTGAACAGAACGATTTCCGGGAGACACTTATAAAAAGACGGTCATCCGACCACAACAGCTACTTGACTTGACAGTCCATCAAGTATTTTTTCACTATCCAAGAGTGTCTTTAGAGAGTGTTTCGTGAAACGAAGGTCTGGTAGTAAGCCTAGATACAGAGCAGGAAGTTTGGTTGAGAGCAATGAAAATTAAAAAGCGTTAGGACAAGAACTGATAGAGTACCAGTTGAAATGTATAAAATGTCTGGAGATGTTAGTAAAAGCTGGTCGAAAGATTTTTAAAGTAAATGCCAGTAGAAAGAAAAAGATCAGAAAAGTGGTATAAGAGTTTTTTAGTACTTATATTTTAAGGCAATATGATATATTATATGTATATTTAACGCGAATATACAACAATGTAGAAACTCTAGAAATACAATTTATGATCCACAGTATAAAGGTTTGAAAATATTATAGTAGAGAGAATTAGAATTAGGACATCATTATCTACTTCATAAGACCAAAGACAAAAAGAAATTGCATGCGAAAAAAACTGAGTACACGGCAGTACGCCAGGCCAAGTTCCAGCAAGGCAATTACCCCAGTTTTTCTAACCCACATATATCTGTTTCTTCTTAAGAAAAGTTTTTGAAATTTGTAACATAAATTAAGCTCGAGTAGCTTACGAGACTGTAAAAAATGATCCCTTAATGGTAAGTCTTTTCAAAAGGAAAAATTTTCAAATATTTTATTTTTGTTACTGACTCACTTACTCATCATCAAAAGTATAAAACATTTCCCGTATAGTCCGAATAATAATTTTCTTATAAGTTGTAATTTTTATAAAATAATGTTTTGTGGAGCTTCGCAATGGCTGAGCCAAAAGGGTTTTTATTCGTGATGAAAAAAAATATTGCCTCAAAATAGTATAAGTGTTATTGTTTCACGAATAATTCTTAGTGGAGCTACGCAATGGCAACGCTAAAAGTGTTTTTGTTTGTTATGAATTGTAAGTACTGCCTATATAATGAGAGATTTTGCAATGAGAAATCGATTTTGATGACTTTTGGGTACTTATATGACAAACGAATCGCGGCAATGCAGCTGTTTTCAAGGGCTGTGACGATTAAAGGGCTTAGAAATATTGTATTGTTGTGGTATGGCCTGACCACTTCAATATTTGAAAAATTGTCGGTTCATCTCTGCGGCGATGTGACATGTTCATAGGTCACGACAGAGTTACAAATTTCGCTACGGCTGTGGCTGGCTGAAAACCATACCACAACGATAACTTTAAAAAACATTTATTTTTAACACTGCGTCTGGCTGTAGTGTTTTAGAATTTCTACTGCGGCAATGTGGCTGTTCGAAGACCACGACAGTATTAATAAATAATTGGGTGTTATGGACAAAATTATTACATGTGTGGGTGGATTTAGTACAATATATAATTCATTATTATTGTTGTTTCTTGATGTGATTCTCCAGTATGAACAAAATAATTATGATTATTTTAAACGAATTGTTATGATGTATTTATTTCTCTGAATGTATGGTTATTTTTTTATTTTGTTGAAGAAAAGTGAATAATGAAAACATTTTTATTCGTAATTTTTTTTTTTAAATAATTAAAACTCGTTTCAATTTTTTAATTAATTTTTTTACTCGGTAAGAGTTTAGCACCATCGGTAATAGAAACATAAAACTAAACAAAAGAAAGTTGGTGGGATAAAATATAAAAGTGGTGTTTAGGATAAGTTGTAATGATAACTTACTAACGGATTGGTTAGTTCATCAAACAATTAAGTATGAAATAATTTAACTTTAGCGACATTGTATTGAAAGTGTAAAAATATGCTTACTTGGTAATATATTATACGAGTGTTCTTTTTAAAAATCTGTGTAAAACTAAATGATTTTATCGGTTTTGATAGAAACTTAAGCGTCGAACGTAAAAAGTGGGCCATCATTTTTCTATTTGTATTGTCAGTGTTTGTATTTGAAAGTATTTCTTTTAAATTTGCGTGCGTCTTTTACTGAACATAAACGTAAAATAGAAAACGTTTTGGGGCCCTAGGATTACTTTAAGCCCGATTTATCGACGAAAACTACAATTTTTCTCAAATAGTAGTAGTTTATGTTCATTCTAAGACTGTTTTATATACAAAAAAAAAACTTAAAGAGTATCTACCCTTCATGCAGATACAGCAATACATGGATAAGTTCTGATAATTATATAATTATTGCCTTTAGATAATCTCCTTGCGATATATGATGATAGTATAGTCTTAATTATGTACGTTTACACTTGCAATTAGTACATAACCATTATCAACAAATAATAATAAAGTTAAAATAAAATACTGATTGATAACTACACTTAATAATATATTCTATGTACCAAATATAAAAAAAAAATTATAGTCAATACTTATTTTAATTAAAAATATAATTAATTTAACTCAATTAAAAATAAAATTAAAATAAATAAATATTTATATAAAAGTTGTAATTTTCGTTTAAAAAAAACCTGATTTAATTCGTATTCATAATACTGCAATTAATTTTAGAGCACATACATATATCCATATCCGGTCATTTTACTGTTTTATTTTTATATTTATATAAGAAGTATACTTCTTAAGTATTTGAATTCTACCGCGTTAGTTGATAAGGTAGACTACTGATAAAACATAATGTGATAGGAGAAGGTGACTAAGCTGATTATAAAGTTATCAGCTTATTAGCCAGTTATTATCAGGTTTAGAGCAATATAAAAGTTAAAATAATTTGTTAAAATTAATTTGTAATCTGTGAGAGACAAGATTGTGATCAATAAACATTGAATGTTGTTTCTCATTTTTACAGGTTTGTAAATTATCTTATAAATAAGTTGTAAATAGCGTAAATAACCTTATAATATAATAAACTCATTTTTACAGAGATACGTTTCAGTTTGTTGTTATATTGTAACAACCCTGTAGCCCTGTACGTATGTATTGCAGGCTGTTGAGTCTTGTCACAATCGTGGTAGTAGGTTTTACGATGATAGTATAGTCTTAATTATGTATTCTGGTCAAACGTTTTTATTAGTAGTTTTAAAATATCTGGCCTTAATCGATTTACTTAATCGAAAAAAAAAATTTGACTTTCCTTATATCCTTATTTCGGACTACGTGTAACACACACAAGGATAATACATTTTTTATATGACAACATTATATATAACAGGCTGCAATCTACATAATTGTTCACTATGGTGTAGAATATTCATATTGCGCCGATACCATTTTTGATAAGATACATGCAACTAACATATGGCATACTTTTTGATTAAAAATCAAATAGATCATTCTCCTAGACGATTTTATAGTCATATGTACATAAAAGAGTTCAAAGTCAAAATATAGGAAAACACTCCAGCGTCTAGGTAATGGCTGAAACCATTTTTTTTATTGGCGCCCTAAACTAGTTTTTTAACCGAATATTCGTGATATAATAAATGGATCTACGACACATATGTTTGGGAGATGAGCGTTTATCGAAGGTAAATCATTACTGTATTGTTTGTCATGAATAGTTCAGATTTGATAAAAAAATTTTGGACAACTTGAAAAAGTCCATGTGATCACAATTAGCCATTAAATTTAAGTTATCTTCAGTTGAATATATTATAATTTTTGGTTTATAGCGATCTATATTAAAACAATCATTTTTTTTAAAACATTTATTTTATTACTTGTAGATTTACAAAACGACAAGCGTGTTTGACGGTACGATAAGTTGCCGGAAATAGTTGTTTTGATAAATATATAATATATTTTAAATATCACTATTTTTATTTAATGTGTTTAAAAAATGTTTTTACTTATTAAGAAAATAATTTAAAAACACTATACTTCAAGATGATTTTATCTGCTTCGATAAACTAGATTTGAGATCAGATCATAATGTTAACATTCTTTGTAGTGCAAAAAATTCACAACTTACTATTCTAGGTGAATGATTAACTAATGAACATAGTTTATTGATGAATTTCAAATCTGGTTTTAATGGGTTTTATGCAGGTATCTTTCATGTTTTAGGTATTATTTTCTAGTTATAAATAAATATATATTCGTCCCTAACCGGGATTAGGACTTTATAGCTAACAATGCCTATTCGGTCACCTGGGTGGGCGCATCCGCGCATGGTATTTCTGCCTTGCATAGCGGGGGTTAATGGTGTGGGTCGCCGCTAAAAATTCCGTGTGGTCACCCATCCGGGATCAAGCAGCAACGGACACAGGTTAACCTCAAGTGCCACGTGGCAGCTGAGGTGTCTACTGCACCACACCACGCCCGTGTTCTAGTTATGTCATTGTTTA